CAACTTTGATTCCTCCAGATCTTAGCACATGTTTAGCACATGTTAAACACCAAAAATATCCAGCCCATAAACTCTCCACGCATGCTATCCAATCCAAGTCTAGAACTGCTCCAAATTGCTCCATTTGGCCATTTATTGTCATCTTTACCAATTGGACCTACAATAATACGAAATTAACATAAATTAACAAAATAAATAGAAATTAACGAAGTAACTGCAAAGAAATAAGATAACAAAGTCGCATAAATACACTCCTATCAAACCTGACAATCACGACCCGTTAATCTGACACGAAATGAAACGAAAGAAATAAGTTTTGGATTGAGGCTTAACGGGTCGGGGGATTTTATCAAGACAACATGTTTAGCCCCATTAAATAACGGGTTAATTCAGGTTACCCATGAGTAACCCGTTAAACTAAAGTTTTAGCCCTATCAGTATCTCCCTCGATTTATGTGGCATGTAGATGTGAAATAATTATAGTTGTATTTCGGAATCAAAGAGAGCTTTTGAATTCATATAATGTTTAGTAATTTAGTGTGTAGATTTTCATTTGATTATTTATTGAAGTAATAAAATACTATCTTTAACAGATAAAATGGATTAAGTGACCCGTTTATTTTAATGGATTGGGTTTGAATTTAAAATTCGTTAAAATACATGTTTAACATGACATAAATAATTATTTGTTCAAAAATAAAAAAATAAACATGACATAAATCATTAAGATGATATGTGTTGATGGAAAAGGATCCTCTCCGGATCCTCTTTGTGGGGATCTGGAGGATCAATCAATCACGTCTGTTCATCGTACATCGTGTGGTCAGTTTTCGTTAGGTACTATTTATATTCAATTTTAAATTTCGAATTTGAAATGATTTCTGACCGCACGATGTACGATAAACAGACATGATTAATTGATCCCTTGGATCCCTCCACAAAAAGAATCAGGAGATGATCTTTTTCCTGTGTTTATAGGAAAAAGACTCAAACATGGCACGAAACCGTTTGCCAGGACATGAGGGCAAATACATCGTAATATCAGTATACAATTAGACCTGGCATTTTCCACCCGACCCGTTAACCTGACTCGACTCGACCCATTAAAATTAGTATTCGGATGAGTGATAAACGAGTCAGGTGGTTAACGGGTCAACCCACAAATCACTCGTTAAATAACTGGTCATTTTGGGTGAACCCGCGAAACCCGTTAACCACCCCGTTAACACCCGTTATTGAGGATTTTTCTGTAATTTCAATAATCCTAATAGAAAACCCTCAAGTCCCTCACGACTCACTCTCTCTCGCACCGTCGCACGATATTGCTATCTAAGACTGAGAGATCACTCATCGCTGTGCTCCTTCCCTTTTGGCTCCGATTATCTCCCTCATCTTTTTCCCTTAAATTTTTTATTGCTCTTTGAGTATAGTAGCGTTTTCTTTTCTTTTCTCAAATTGCATCTCAGCTTGTTAGTATTCATCAAGGTTCTAAAAAACGCTAGGCGTTAGTCGGGTGGCGGGCTAGTGCTTAGCGCCTAGGTGGGTAGGTGGGGTCTAGGCCGGCGCCTAGGCGGTTTAAACAGATTTAGGTAAATTTCTTGTATATCTTGTAAATAAAAAATTATACTTGTATAAAATACATAAATAAAAGAATAAAAGAATGATAAAATGCAAATAAAATATCTAGCAAGTCCAGAATTTAAAAACATATTAAGCATATACATTTTGAATGATTATATCTAATTTTTAAAGATTAAAAGTAAAAATCCGGTTAGGTGGTTCATAATAAAAAGAATTCTGAAAAGGTGCATATGCATCCTTTCCCCTGTCCGTTCCCAACTTCCCATGCCTCACATCAGCCAAGACCCATGCCTCACATTAACCAAGACAGTCAGAAACTCCCAAACCAAGGAGTCCATTTTGACGCCTTGAAAACCAGAATTTTTTTTCTTTTTTATTCTTTCCTTTTCCTCATCCTTTTCGTCTTCTTTCCGTTCCCTCTTCTTCTTCTTCTTCTTCTTTTTTCCATTTTCCCTCTGTAATTTCTCCCTTTTTTCTACGATTGCTCCGCCCAATTCCCTATCCTCTCCACCTAATTAAGTTTCTCGTTTCCTATCCCTTCATTCTTCTTCGATTGCTCTGCTTGATTCCCCATCTCTCCGCCTAATTTCCATCTTCTTGCTCTGTATAATTTTCCAAAACCTAATCATGAGTCCAATCAATTTCCTCAAGCACAACGAAGAAATCCTCTCCGGTGAAGAAATCTGGGCTTCCAGGTCGATGTTATCGCTTTTTTTTTCTGCAATTGCACTGTTATTCTGATTCCTTCTACATATCTCTCTCACATTTGCTCTTCCCTCATGCTTTCTCAATTTCTCTTTCGTCACCATTGCGGTGTAGTGAGACGGAAAATTTTAACAAAACCGTCGCAGAGGCCGCTTAGCTCGCCGCTTAGCCTAGTGCCTAGCCCGCCTAGGCACCGCCTAATACCCATGCCGATTTCCTGAACATTTTTGAAATAATCGCGGCGGCGGCCCGACGCCCAGTGCCTAGGTGGCTGCCCAGACTGCGTTTTAGAACACTGGTATTCATATGCTGATTTGAGAGAAGTAATTTTCATCATTGTGCTGTTAGTATTCATATGTCTTGTTAATGCGTGATGATTAAAATAGTAGTTTCATTCTCTATAAATTGGACTACTAAAGGCTAGACCTAGGAGTTCAAGATTAGTTAGACTTGTTTATATGTGTGTACTGATTGTATTTTCTAGTTGACCAGGCATAACTATGTTGTTTAAAAAAATTAACGCCTTATTAGTTGAGTGGGGGATTGAAAAGAAATTGTTTTCCGTTACTTTGGATAATGCCTCAGCAAATGATTGTTATGTTGAGCTATTGAAGAAACAATTAAATTTTAGAGGTTTGCTATTAATGGATGGAAAGTTCTTCCATGTTCGTTGTTGTGCTCACATCCTAAACTTGATAGTCCAAGATGGTCTAAAGGAAATTGATGGATCAGTGACGAAAGTTCGTGAATGCATCAAATATATAAAATGTCCAGAAGGGAGAAAAAATAAATTTTTTGCTTGTGTTGTGCAAGTAGGGTTGGCAGGTAGTAAAAGAGAGTTGAGACAAGATGTGCCTACCAGACGGAATTCAACATATACAATGCTTGATAGTGCTATTTTCTATGCTTTTCTCAATTTGGCACTTGTTGATTCTAATTTTAGTTCATGTCCTTCCTTGGAAGAGCGGGATAAAATAGAGAAGATTTCCAATTTCTTTGGGTATATATATGAAGTTACTTGCTTATTTTTTGGAACAAATTACCCTACATCAAACTTGTTCTTCCCAAAAGTGTTCAAAGTCCATTATTGTATTCGAGATGCTATGGAAGATTGTGATGATTTCATGAGACGGATGGGGAATTATATGAATTTGAAGTTTGAAAAGTATTGATCAGAGTATAGTTTGATCATTGCCATTGCGGTGATTCTTGATCCTTGCTATAAATTGCAATTTGTAGAGTGGGGTTATGACAAGCTTTATGGTAAGGGGTTGAGAGAGTTGAAGGATGTTAGTGACACATTGTTTGCACTCTTTGGTCATTACATGGACAAGTTCTCTCATCTTCTTGTCTCCAACCCGGTTAATCAAAGTCCTACTTAAATAAAAGGAGGAGACAAACTTTTTGAGGTAGTATTTATATTTGTTATTCCTCTTTTAATACTTTTTATATGCATCTTTATATTGTACGTTGATCTTTGTTTCTATTTTGTTTTTATATGTAGGAATTTGATAATATTTACCAAGATGGGTCAACTTCAGTTGAAAAAATTAAATTACATCTATATCTTGAAGAAAAGAGACTCGATAGAAAATAAGAGTTGAATATTCTTTCATGGTGGAAACTCACTGAAGAAATTTTTCACATGAGCCTTAATGAAAACTCGGAACAATGCTCTAATAGTATTAGTCTTGAATAAGCATGGAGTGTATTTTAACTTGTTCTTTTAAAGATATTTTTCAACTTTTTTCAACTTTTAAGCCTATGGTGGAAAAGCGGTATATGAGTAAATTATGCTCTTGGTTCTTAGGTTCTATTGTTATTTTATGCTCCATTGTCCAGTTGTGTATGCTTTATGGACAAGGCTGTTTAGGGAGACAAGGTTAAGCTGGGGAATCCCTGAATCTTGTGCTCCATTACTTTGGAGAAGCCTATGTCTTTTGGAGAAAGGAAAGGGGGCTTGGTGCTAGGTTCAGTGTGATGCACTGAAATTGCATAGGAGATTTCTTACAGGCCTAAGTTGGAAGATGTGGATTTTTAATGGGAGTGTATTTTGGGATTCTTCACAGGCTTTAGTTTCTTTAAATATTAAGGACCGGTGTTACTTATTTATTCTAAGAGGGATGTTGTTGTTAATTAGTTTTGTCCTTCTGTTTTGTTTCTGTTGGGTTCTGTTTTGTTGTTTCTTCACAGGCTTCAGATTGTGTTATTATTATGCTTCTTGTTTATTTTCCTTTGTTTTCTTTTCATCAGTTACAATAAAGGTGAATGTTGAAGGCAAAAAAGTAGCAGATGATGCAATGCAAGAAGAAAAAGAGCCAGCGAGACATTGTTTGAAACTTAAGAAAGAGAATTATTTTGTTTTACTTAAACAATTTTTCGATTCATGCTAAGATTAGGAGACTCATATAATTGATAGAAAGTTGAATTCTACTATACAAAACAGGGTTATAATTGATTTGGATGAAATGTTAAAAAAAAAGAAAAGAAAAGAAAAAAATTAACGAATAAAATAGGTGACCCGTTAGCTTAACAGGTAGGTTCGAATGACATATTAACTTAAAGAGTTAGATTTGAATAACTCGTTAAATTAACGGTCAGGTTGAACCGAACCAAACCCGCTAAACCTGACGCTTTACAGGTCTATCTACAATAGGCGAAACCTCTCCTGAGACTGAGACGAGTCGCGCGGCGCCGCTCTGTACTCTCATCGTCTTCCTCTTTCCGTCGTTATCTACTCTCTCTCTCTCTCACTCTCACTCTCACTATCACTCTAATTTTCCAGAATTCTCCTCCACAGCTCATCTGGGAGAGCTGACATTGAACTGAACGGTCTCTGGTGATTCCACAGTTGAACAAGCTGTCGTCCGCCGACTGTAATCAAAACTCCCCCACCGACTTTTTCAATACAAGTCTCTGTCTCTGTCTCTGTCTCTAGATTGGTGGGTATTGAAATTTCAACCACTATTTTCAGATCTGTGGGTATTGAAATTCTAAATTCCAGCGTTCGTCAGGTGGCTTGATGCTGGGTGAGTGGCTGCGGGTCTGATTTTCAGGTGGGCTCATGTTGGATTTGGAAATGCAGAGTCATTTTTTGGTTACAGTCTTCGATTCAATCCAAACACTTGACAATAATCCCAACCTATCCATTCCAATCCTAGCCTAACCAGTCCAAATACAAATCCCTTCATGTTTCCCTCTGTTTACTTTCTGTGTATTTTAAGCAATAAGCATGATTAGGATGTTGATTAGGACGTGGGTTTTGTTTAATGGGTCTTGAAACCCTGGTAAGAGTAGTAAATTCCTCTCCTTTCGATCAATTTCTTGCAATGCTTTGTTCTGGAGCTATCAATTGATTTCATAGTTGTAGGGTTATAAACCCGGATTAGCATTTCTTTCTTTGCTGCTACCATTTTCTTTGCTTGCAATATTTCACCATGGAACCCGGCACCTCGTGGTCGACTATGGAGGATGTTTTGTTGTGCGAGTGTTGGGTTCGTGTTGCTCATGACCCGCTTACGGGTAGCGAATTGAAGCTTAATCAACTGTGGAAACAAATCCGTGCAGAATTTTCCGAGAGGAGCAATTCGACTCGCACGGAGCAAAGTATTTCTAGCAGGTGGAAAACTCTAAACAAAAAGTTACGCAGCTGGAGAAACGCCTTGGAAAAAGCCCAAGATGATTTTCAAAGTGGCAAAAATCTTACTCATCAGGTAGTAGAATTTAATAAAATCTTACTCGTCAGTCGTCAGGTACTATAATTTAATGCAGTGTAATGTGGTTTTGTAGATAATTAAATTTCATTTTTTGAAATTTAAATGTGTAATGTCAATCTGTGGATGATTAAATTTTGTTTCTTGCAATGTTTTTGTAGGCACTACAAGCACTCTTGTTGTATAGTGCAGACAACAAGAATAAGTCATTCAAACATCACAATTGTTGGGCCGTTGTGAAGGGATGTCCGAGATTTAAAATTGTTTCCACTTGTCCAACTGTTGTCAAAAACGAGGTGCCACGGCACAATTCACCTAATGGAGACAATTCAGCTAATGGAGATTTGCCGTTGGAGTCCCCAGTTGAAAAGGAGTCACCAACAGAAAAAAGGTCGATTCCCGTGGGTAAGAAGGTTGCGAAGAAAAGAGGTAAAAAGGGGGGTTCTTTCAATGAGTGTGCAAGGTTCTTGAAAGAACTTGTTCGCCAAGGTGAAATTAATATTGAGCGGGAGAGGTTAAGAGACGAGGCACTTGCAAGAGAAAGGGAGTATGCACGAAAACAAGATGAGGTACTCCTGAGAGAAAGGATGGACAAGCGAGATCGGGAAATTATGTCCCAGAATCTAAACAATATGTCCTCTGATTCAAAACTGTTTTGGGAACAAGAAAAAGCGGATGTTATGAAAAGAAGGTGTGCAAGGGAAGGTGGACCTAGCAACACAGAGTTATTCCAAGAGAGTTTATCAGGCAGTGCAGATGTGTACAGAACATGAGCTTAATACCGAACGAGGCAGCATTGAAAACAGAGGTGGATTTGTCTTTTAACATGGCAGGTATTTACAGCTCTCATGTGTAGATAGTTCAATCAATGTGTAAATACTAATGAAATGACGTAACTACTTGAATGGACATGACTGGTTTTTCTTGAACAAATGAGTACTCAATCTTCACTATTTTCCTTGTTAGAGTTGTGCTTCATCTTTTAGTATATTGTGTACATTCGAGTTTTATCCTGCAAAGTTCTCCCATTAGTTAGTGGTAAATTAAGAAGCAATACCATAAGCTATTTTCTTTGCAAGAAAATATTGTCATTTGGATATGGTAAAATAAACCGAAATACGAGCACCAAACCCTAAATAGGATCAACCTACTTTGCCTTAGAATATAACTTTACTGATCTCCTTGGATTAATTTTCTGCGTTTTTGCGGTTTATTTTAACTGCGTTGTGCTTGCTTTGTGAAATTGCATTATTACTGGGTTTTCATGTTTGCAACTAAAGGTTGGATGATACAATACACAAGATAACAGGGAGTCTCATCAAATATAGGACCTCTCTCTTAAAAAGGACATAGGTCAAGCACTGGAGGATCTACCTTCTGTTAACATCTTTGTATATTTGATAGTTTGTTTCCTTGGAGTTGGTTTCTGCACTCAGCATGCCTTCTTGTTTGTCTGATGTCATGGTCTATCCAAGCTTAGAAGTAGCGAGAATGACTTTCATCGCACCAACTCTTCCAATAATCAGGATTTCTCGTTTCAACTTTAGTTATCGAAACAGAGTCAGTTAAATTGTTTGGATGATGTTTAAGAATCTTTCAGAACTGTGATTATGCCTTTCACTGGTGTTACTGTATTTTAAAATTTCAGTCCTCCCTTTCTATTATGGAGTGTAACATACGTGCATGAGTTTGCTTTATATGTTATAGTCATTACGACACTTGAGTTGCTTTATGTGTTTTAACCATTTCCTGCAATATTTTCTCTACCAGTAGGACACTTTTCAACTGTAGTAGAAGATTGCATTCGTTTTAGAACTTTTAAGTTGTGCATAGACATTGTTCGAACTGTGAGGTTTGGTCCAAATTACGGATAATTTTTACACGCTTTTGTTAGCTGCATACTAATCAGGCATTGGAACATTTTAATCGTGGAGAAAAGCAGATGGACCAAGGACAATCGAAGCCTTTAGCCCAGCCATCAGTCATGGGTTCATGCCCGAAAACATGTTAAGGCTAGGGCTGGCACCACAATCTCTGCCAAGTGCCCAAACATGCCAAATAACCACATTGCATTGGCTGCTCAGTTGCAAGCATTTGCGCTTTGAGCACAATTTTGATCTTTCACAGCCAGGAAATGCCAACTTGACGCCACAGCTCATTCCACTGTTGCAGTTGAGGATTGCTGCTCAATGAAAAGCTAAGGAACGCAACATGGCTGCATAATCTTTACCTTTTCCAGCGTCAAAACAGCAGGTTACTTCTCCCCCAGTTGCGAGTGAGAGTTCTCCTCATGCTAATACATCAAGTGGTGCATCCAGGCAGGCTAGCTATGCAAAAGCAAAGCAGACAGTTGCGGCGGCTAACCCTTTTGGTTGAGGTTTAAATCGTAGTAACTTTAACAATAATAACAGCATTCCTATGCAGCAGTTTTTTGTTCATGGCAGAGAAAACCAGATGTGACCTAGGCAGTCGGTTCCTATGGGAAATGAAATGACTTGTACCCATCCCGCGCAGTCATCTGCAAACACAAGCCAGGCTGTGACAACTCTTTCCATGTAAAGAGTTCACAAAACAATCCAGATACATTGCAGACGCAATACCATCGCCCATCGGTAGTCGAGTGGATCTTCTCCACAAGCTGAGGATCCTTATGATGGGGTTCTGGCAACAAGAACCAGTCACGAGGTGGACTGGCTACTCGGATGGGACAACAACGCCATGGGTTCACTAAACAGCAGCTGCATCTTCTTAAAGAACAAATACTACCATTTAGAATTTACTTTTTGCTGTGATAATCCATGTCATGGAAAATCAAGAGGCAGTTGATATTGTTTGAGTTGTTTGAGAAGGTGAACTAGTCTGATGTGTATTCTGTTTGTGATTTGGACGAAATGCATTTTGTTTTGGACCAGCTCTTTCCCTTTTACCCTATAAAAATACTTCTTCCCCGTTGTTATTGTGAAGTATAAAAACACCGAAAGTACGACGTTTTTATATGCGTTTATGCGTTTATCTCACTCTACACCAATTGATCCTTTCTAACTTTACTTTTATTTCAATGTTCTAACTAAGCATATAATGAGTTAACAATAATTTGGTATTAAATCCGTCATTTATAAGAGGCACAACTTTGGAAAAGTTACAAAACCAAATACAAGGATTAGGTAGAGTATGTTATGGTTTGCTAGAGCACAAGGAACAATGTTTGCTTCTCAGCGAACATGGTGAATTTCTCCAACGTTGAAAGCTTTTAAAAAGAACAAACATTGCCATGTTAGGGGAAATTCTCCTTCATGAAACAATTAGATAAATACTAGATGTTTATTACCCCTTCATTTTGCACACACCAGAGAATTCTTTGCATTCGAGCTTACTAAAATTGATCCGTGTGGGACCTAAGTGCACACAATTCTCTTTGTGTGTGTTCTTGGGCTAACATGTGATGTGAGACATGTGACCGTATTAAAAAAATATTTAGCTTATTTTTACTTTCACATCTCTACAACTTTATTTTGATCTCATTTTTTTTTTTGTAACTCAAATGTCACACTTTACCTCCTGAAACTCAAAAATCATTCCACTTTAACTTGTGGACTCTTTCTTCTTCCTGAAACTTATAGGTCGCCTTCTAAAATATATGTGGGATCCAACACCCAATAAGACTATGCCACATGTGCAATAATTTTGGTTATAAATCTCCATTATGTGTTAACATTCAACAATGATAGAATATTAAGTTTAAAAGAAATTAAAGAGATGGTAAAAATATTTAAAAAAATGATTAGCTTGGAGAACCCATATAAGAAATTAACAAATCTAAGACAATGTGTAACGAATTTTGAGTTTTATAAAAACGACTTTCAAGTTTTAGGAGGAAGAATGAGATCAAAATCAAAATGAACCACATTATGAGTTTCAAAAAATAAAATAACGACTTTTGAATTTAATGAAACAAAGTAATTGAGTTTCCATGTTGCTAAAATCAGCCAAAATATTTTGTAGACTTTTCCTATTTTCTTCAAATTATTATTGTTCAGACATGACATTTGGCAGGTTTCAAAATTATTATTTTTCAGACATGACATTTGGTAGGTTTCAAACAAGGAGGCAGATTGCCCTCCTCTTTGGAAGCTTTTCCTGTCCTTTCTTATTTTGTGTGCGATCACGGTTAAACTACATCAATATTTTATATTCTTATTATTTTTTGTCTTATTATCTCTATAATAAAATTAATATAAAATGTTACTGTGGCTTAACCGTGACCACACAAAATAAGAAAGGATGAGAAAGGCATCCAAAGAGAAGGGCACACAATGTGCCTCCTTCAAACAACAAATAAACGAGGCGAAATCATAAATCCCAACTTTTCAGGGGTACCAATATGCAAATATGGTATGAAGCGGGAGGTCCGGCTAATACACCACAGTTTCGGTCTACAAAAATCCCAAACATCGCCGCTAGGGTTTTAAGCTGGCGCCTATATAAACACACGATTAACCTCACATCCTTCAACATCTCTCCCTCCTCTCCCTTCTCTCCATCTCTCTCCGCGTTATCCGTTTCTCTCTGTTTTCTGTTTAGATTAAGCATGATTAGGATGCGAATTAATTGATGTGGAAATGCCTCTTCTTTCGGCTGCAAGGGTTAAGATCTTTCGATCAATTTCTTGCAATGCTTTGTTCTGGAGGCATAAATTGATTCCATAGTCTTGGGGTTCAATGCCGGATTAGTATTTCTTGCTTTTCTGGCTATCCCTTGCTTGGAACATCTCAATCTTCCCTTTAAATTCTCTGTTTTTTCTTTAATTTTTCTTTTTCTTGAGTAAAATCCTTTTCTGTTTTTTTACTATAAACCCTAATTTTTTAGCATATTTGATGGATTTTGTGTTTTTTTTAGTTGGTGTGGGGGGATTGGACACAAAATTTGGTGGAGTTAATTGCAATAAAAGGATTTGAAATGACGATAATTTCTGTTATTTTCATCCTTTGCTTTTAAAATCCAAAGTTATGAAGATAAAAAACTGTAAATCCTTGTTTGTTTAGCTTGTTGGGAGTGTGAATCGGGAAATTAAGAGACATTGCATGGTGTCGGTGGGAGTGTGAAATCCGTATTAGGCTTAATCGATGATGTGACACGTGGGGAGGCCTGTAGAGAGTGAATCGACAGTGAATTTCACGGGACCTACATGAAACTAGCAATGAATAAAAAGAAATGAACTCAAATTTCTTTCATATACATGAACATGAAGAGATTAATGTCTTCATGTCATACAGACCTGAACAAACTCATGTCCTCTCGTGGATGCATCGACCGTCGGCCATGCCGGCAACAATGGAGATCATCCTGTTTTGACTCTAAACTATTGAGCCTGCGTGTCAAATTAGCATTTGAAATTACGCTAATATTGGACTGTGTAGCTCCAATGACTTGGGCAACCCCCTATCCACTGTCAGCAGGGTTAATACCCGTTTCATCCAAGGCCATACAAATCAGGCCATTTTTGGTCTCTTGGACCTTTAGCAGAGAATCTAAAGAGCATGCAGGCGCATTACCATCTCTGGTTTTGTCCGACCTCTCTCTTTGGTCCCAACCAATTACGCGTAACTACTCTTATCAAAATATTGCAACATCCGCATCTCAATGTCGATGTTCTCATTATAAGATGAGCAAGTAAGAAGGATGGCTGTAGATGATCCTCTCTGAGAAAGTGTTGTTCATAGGACAAGGCATCCAGTTAAACTCTTCTTTTTTCAAGTCAAACTACTTGTATTACTGCCTCCACTATCAAACAATGAACGTCTCCATAGACCACTTAAACTTAAGTCAGGTGGAGGTAATGCTGGTGTCTCTCGAGTTTCGAATGCCAGAAGCTGTTTGTCTTCCCCAATACAAGATCTTCTGTATATACGAAACTCTTCCATTGTATAAGTGGAAGGAGCAACAGCTTTGTAATTAAGAGAAACACGAACAATCTTGTGTTATTGAATCCCATTCCATCGCGGATTGATTACGAAGCAATGTTTGGGTTTCATTCTCTGTTTCAAGCAAACCACATTGAGATCGACAAAATGTATCACGCATATATGTTGGGACTCACAATTCTTCCGAGAAACTAAGAACATGTTGGTTTTTGTAGATGTCCGAAGGCGCCATTACCCTCATCGTATCTGATTACTTGCAAGTCGCAACACCGTGCTTTCTAGAGGTTTGACAACAATTGATCGAGCGAAAAGCATTAGGTGATGGAACAGAGTGATTTTGGCATTGCAACGTCTTGGAGATACATTTGATGGAACAGAGTGATTTTGGGGGAGTCACATAAAGATGTTTGACGAGGATACCTGTTGGGGAAGGGGCATCAACTTTGTTTTTAACTTTAATTTGAGTGTGCCACTTAGTTAGGATTGTTTCAAAACAACGTCTTTAGTTTTCGTTCCAGAATTTCAGAATTCAGATCAGATTAGATCACAATTTTTAAATTCGAAATTTTTAGCATATTTGAAAATTTCGAAATTGGAGTAATCTTAAATTTTGGAAAATCATATATTTTGTAAGTTTTGAATATTCTCTAACCTTTTTGTATGTGCAATTTATTATTCTTTCTTAATATTTACTATGTACTTTTTTTTTTTTTTTGGTTGAAAGAACTTCAAAGAACCAGAAAGGCCCAAGGCCAAGAAACAGACAGAAGGGTGCCCAGCACACCCACAAACAAGAACAAGGAAAAACGGGAAACAATAGACGCCGCCACAAAGGCCCCTAGCCTCTTCCCAAATACCACAACAAAAACCCCCCTACGGAGGATATGGAAGACCATCTTTGTTCAGAATGCCCACAAGCGAAGATGGGGCGGCCAAAGAAAGAGGGATGTATGGGATTTCGTAATTTTAAAGATTTTAATCTTGATTTGCTTGCCAAACAATGTTGGCGGTTGATTCATGATCCCAATTCGCTTTGGGCTTGGGTTTTGAAGGGCAGGTATTTCCCAAATGATTCTTTCCTAGAGGCTAAAAAAGGTTGTAGAGACTCGTGGGCGTGGGCGAGTCTCTTAGATGGTCGGGATGTTATTCTAAAGGGTGCTAGTTGGTAGATTATGGAAGGGCAGCAAGTTCGTTTTTGGTTGGATAATTGGATCCCTGGCTTAACGGAGGGGCATCCCATCCTTCCCATGAGTGGGGATGCTAATAATGACTGTAGGGTTGCAGAACTAATTGATCCGGTTACTAGGGAGTGGAATTTGGACTTGCTTGTTGATCTAGTCCCAGAGACGGTTTGTGGGGCTATTTCTCGAATCCATGTGGGTCTCCGCTTCTCTCTGGATAAGCTTGTCTGGCCTCTTAAAAGGCATTGTTCTTATTCAGTTAAATCAGGCTATAGGTGGTGTCAAAGCCGGCTACCCCGACATAATCATGACCGCCCATCTTCTTCCCAAAGTATTGACTCTCGGGTATGGGCTTGGATTTGGGGTTGCAAGGTACCACCAAAAATGCGGCACTTCCTTTGGAGGGCGCTACGTAATGCTTGTGCCACCAAACTCAACCTGTTCCACCGTCAATGCTCCGGGTCCCCCCTTTGTCCCATTTGTGCACAGAGTGATGAGTCCATGGAGCACATACTCCTTTTGTGTTCGTGGGCTTCCAAGGTGTGCTCAGAGAATCCTCTTCGTCTTCAAATTAATCGAAGCTCTATAACTACCTTGTCTGATTGGTTGTGCTTGGTTGTTAGTCAATTTCTTTTTAGGAGACACATTTGATGGAACAAAGTGATTTTTTTTCTAGGGGGAGGAGGGTGATGTTTGTTGAGGATATCAGTTGGGGTAGGTCCATCAACTTTGAGTGTGCCACTTGTTAGGAGTGTTTTTCAGAATTATCACATCATAAACAACGCTTTCAATTTATAAGTTTTTAAATA